TATTTCATATGTTAATGAATCTCTTAATTGATGGGTTTAATGTTATTATTTTGAGGGCGTTGTTGTTTTTCTAATGGTTTGCTAATTGAAGATTCAACTAGTGGACAGTTCATACCAACAACATGATCTTTTGGTAAAACTACAAGTGCAAGGAACAAGGAGAAAGTTTGGAATTGCTTGATAGATGATGAGGTTAGAAGGATTGGTGTTTTCGGAATGGGAGGAGTTGGCAAATCAAGTATCATGCATCATATTAACAATCAACTCGTGAATGAAACTTATCACTTTGATGATGTTATTTGGGTCACAGTATCTAAAGCATTCAACATTAACAGACTACAGAGTGAGATAGCTATAACACTGGATCTCGATCTTTCCAAGTATGAGGATGAAACAAGAAGAGCATCAAAATTACATAAAATGCTTTCCCAAAGGAAGAGGTATGTGCTAGTCCTAGATGATCTATGGGAAACATTTTCTCTGGAGAAGGTGGGTATTCCAGAACCAACCAGAGATAATGGATGTAAACTAGTGTTAACTACACGATCGTCAGAAGTGTGTAAGAGGATGGAGTGCAGAGAGATCAAAGTGGAGCTTCTCACGAAAGAGGAAACACTGAATCTATTTATGACCAAGGTTGAAGAACATCAGACAGTGCTTGCTCCAAAAGTGAAAGAAATTACAACAAAAGTTGCCAAAGAATGTGCATGGCTGCCTCTTGCAGTCATTACTATAGCTAGAAGTATGAAGGGAGTAAATGACATTCATAAATGGAAAAACGCATTAAATGAATTGATCAGCTCAACAAAAGAGATCTGGGACGATGATAGTGTGGTGTTTAAGTGACTAAAATTTGGTTATAGTTGCCTAAAAGATGAAAAGCTCCAACATTGTTTCTTATATTGTGCATTGTATCCAGAAGACCATCGCATCTTCATGGAAGAGCTGATAGAGTGTTGGATTGCTGAGGGACTAATAGTTGAGATGAAGAGTATAGAAGCAATGTTTGACAAAGGTCACATTATATTGGATAAACTCATTAATACCTGCTTGTTGGAGAGTCTTACCAACATAAATGATTAGGGACAATACGTGAGCATGCATGATTTGATTAGAGAGATGGCTCTCAAAATAGCATCAACTAATCCTCGATTCATGGTACAAGCTGGTGAAGGTTTAGTAAGAGTGCCATATGAAGACTGGTCTAACGATGTTGAGAAAGTTTCCTTTATGTACAACAAGATAGAAGAACTTCCTTCTAGACCACTCAGTTGCCCTCGCCTCATCACCTTACTACTGAAAAAGAATTATTCAGAAGTATTACTTATTCCAAATTCTTTCTTCACGCATATGCAGCATCTCAAGGTATTGGATTTGTCCAACACCAAGATACAGTCTCTGCCAGAGTCCATTTCCAAGTTGGAGAATTTGCATGCACTATTATTAACTGATTGTCCAACCCTAAAGTATATGCCATCACTGAAGAAACTAAAGGCATTGAAAGAGTTGAAACTGACTAAAAGTTAGATTGAAGAAGCACCCCAAGGTATAGAAGAGTTGGTGAATCTCAGAAATCTCGACCTCTCCTGGAATTACAGCCTACATATGTTTCCTTGCTGGAAGTTACTCTGACTCACACGACTCCAATGCCTTAGAATTAAGAGAACAAAAGTAGAAGTGTCAGCAGAAGAGTTGTTGTGCTTGAGGCGATTAAAAGTTCTCGAAGCTCAATTTCACAATGTGCAAGAGCTTACTAGTTATGTGACAGTGCAACAATTCCAAAATTTGGAAAGTTACAATGTTGTGGTGGGAATTGTTCATAAAAATGACATACACAACGAACTATATGAATACAATCCCAAAGCAGAAGAAGGTTGTAGCTATGAGACTAAATCTTTTGTAAGTATTGGACTAGATTGTGCAGTGCCCCCCAGTGACATAGAGTCCTTAGACATTATAAGATGGAACGATCTGATTAGCTTATCAGACATTCAATCATTATGCGATGCGAAAGATTTAAGAAAATGTGAAATCCGAAGCTGTAATGGGCTTGAGTCCAAGTTCTCATCAGCATGCTTCTTAGAAGACTACCAAATCCTGCTAAGAGCAGTTGAGGAATTATGGTTTGAAGATTTACCCAATTTTAGGGTACTCTTCGATGGAGTTATTCCACTACACAACATTTTTTCCTTTAATCTTAAGAAATTGTACTTCATTAGATGTTCCTCTATCAAGAATATTTTCCCTGCCAAGTTGTTGCGAAACTTCCCAAACCTTGAGAAACTTACAGTGTCTGAATGCAAGAATTTGGAGGAGATAATTGTAGAGGTAGAGATGAGTGAACAGGGGGGCCATCGTCAAAATGATGGCATTAGAAACATATTCACACTCCGAAATTTCAAGTATTTAACACTAACAAATCTACCAAGACTGAAGAGCATATATAAGGGACAAATGGTCTGTGAATCTCTGCAATATATTCATGTACGCAATTGTCCCATGTTAAGGAGATTGCCTATTTCTTTGCACATGAATGGTGATGGTGAGCAAGCATTTGCACCACTAGTTCTTAAGCACATTTATGGGGAGCAAGAATGGTGGGAATCTCTGCAATGGGAAAATCTCCATACCAAACCCACTCTTCAGTCGTTCTTCTCCAGTAGATAACCAAGTAATATCATAATTATAGCGAACCCGGTTGTCCCTTTACTGTTCTGTTGTATTCCGGACTCGGTTCCGTGGAGTTGGTAGTTGTATCTATCTTGTTGTCGTCCTTTAATTCCATTTGTTTGAGTTTTAGGATGTGTTGGGCATGTTTCGAACAGGTGGGTTAAACCTTGGTCTAAAATCTTGTTGCCAGGTTTTTGGTCGTTCCGCTTGAGCGGGCCGTGTTACGCTCGAGCGGAGATTGCACGCTCCCAGTATTTTGGTGCTCTGCAAAACTTCTGCAAGCATGTTTTACACGCTCGAGCGGGTTTCTTTACGCTCGAGCGGTGGTGCTCGAGCGGGTACTCTGGCGCTCGAGCGGGTAGTACTTTTTGGTGTAAGTTATGGGAGGGGGAAATCTACGCTCGAGCGGACTGGTTTTCGCGCTCGAGTGGATGTACTTTATTCTTGTGTCTTGGCGCTCGAGCGGGCCTTATTGCGCTCGAGCGGACCTAGTTTTTTGTTCTTGACACTCGAGCGTTGTGTTCTCCGCTCGAGCGGAGATGTCGTACATCAGTTGGCAGCTGGGCATTTTAAAATCACTTTTTACATTCTCTCTCTCTCTCTCTTACTTTCTAAAAAGACATTTTGAGAGTTCCTCTCTCTAGAAACTCCTTTCTCTCTAGGGTTTGATCTAGTTAGAGTGTTAACTTTTCCTTCGGCCTTTGTAAAAGTTGGGTTGATCGTCGAGGGCTACACTTTGATCCGAGAATATTGAGTTTTGGAGCACATTGAGTTTCTTCACCTTCTTTCCTTGAGCTCCGAATTTGAGGTAGGGATTCCTACTCACTCTTATGGTCTTTGACATAGATTTTTGGTTGTTTTGATAAAGTGTTGAAGTAGGGTGATTTTGGGACTTAGGGTTTCAAAATGTTAAAAGAGGGTTTTGTTATTTTGATTCTAAGAATGTGTATTATGAGTTTCAAAATAATGATGTTGTTGTTGGTTGTTGATATATAGACCATTGGGTCAATATTGGGAAATGGGATAGAAAACCCTAATTGGTTGTATAAATTAATTGGTATGATTAATTTGCGAAAATGGTGGTTATATGGAATTGAGTTGGAAATAATGAAATTGACTCATTATATAGTAGAATAGTGGAGTTGGATTTGTTAATCGCTCACTTTTGAAAACATTGATATTTTATCTATTGGAGCTTTTATTATCTGTTTAGAAATAATTGCTTGGACTACCGGTGGAGGGTAGTTTTGATTGTTGTAGACAATGCATGATGATTAGGCAAACTAAAACTAATCAATTGGATATGTCATAGAGTATGACGGTTGATAGAATACATTAACGTTATGTATTGATTGATTGTGTATATGACCTGTGTGTATATACGTTATGTGTATGGGAGGAGATAGGGGATGTACTCCACGGTTTAGGGGAAGATAGGGGATGGGCCTCTAAACCGGATGTTGTCTGGGAGGAGATAGTGGATGGACTCCGCTAATACAGCTCATATGCTTGTCAGTTAATGTGTTGATACAGCTTATACGCTTATCTATGGAAGTGTTGATACAACTCATATGCTTATCTTTGGAAGTGTTGATATAGCTAATATGCATATCTGTTGAAATGTGGATACAGCTAGTATGTTTATCTATTGCAAAATGGGAAATGTCTAATATGAGTCACTGTCTCATATAAGTGGTTGGCTAGGTTCTGAGCCGTTAATGTAAATTGTGAAATTGATAAGAAATGGAAACTGAAATGAAACATGAACATAGCGGTCATGAAATGGAAATGGATTATGAATTGATTTATGGAACTTGAACATTTATCAATTGCTAACGTCTTAGTCATTGCTCATACTGTGTTTAGCATATTTCTACTAGGCATTGGCTCACCCTATATGGGACATCATTTTCAGGTACAGGTAGCATGCCACCTCCAAGGACATAGCTTGGGAGGCTAGGAGCAGACAGATTGTTTTGTCATTTACTTTCTTTTGATGTATTACATGTAAATTCAAGCCAAGGGCTTATTTTGTATAGAGTTAGTACTCTTCTTTTGTGTAACCAGGTGTTGACTTGGAAAGCTGTAAGCCCATAGGGCATTTGCTTTTGTTGTTAACATGTAATACTATTGTAAGAACTACTCTGATGAATATAAATGGTTGGTTTCTTTTATGTAATTGCTTGTCTAGTTATGGGTTTTATGTATTATTTTGAGGGCATTACAGTAATATCATTTCAGATTAAAAATATCACAAAAATACTTTCAAAATTGTCAATTAGCCAAAACACATCTGTATCGATTATTTGTGCTATGTGATGCCAAAACTTAAAACACGAAAGTTTCACATGACTAGGTTGGAATTAACATTGTAACTCTCATAATATTTTGGATATAGCAAAATACTACTAGTAGACACATACTAGGTTACTAATTATCATTGTTGATTACTTTGACCTTATTTTTCATTTTTTTATAAATAAAACCACTGCTTGGCTTGTGCTCACGAGTTGGAGGGTCATTTGAAAGGACCAGAACGAAAACACGACGTACCTAATAAATATCGTAATATCATGTCAGATTAAAAATATCACAAAAATACTTTCAAAATTGTCAATTAGCCAAAACACATCTGCATCGATTATTTGTGCTATGTGATGCCAAAACTTAAAACACGAAAGTTTCACATGGCTAGGTTGGAATTAACATTGTAACTCTCATAATATTTTGGATATAGCAAAATACTACTAGTAGACACATACTAGGTTACTAATTATCATTGTTGACTACTTTGACCTTATTTTTCATTTTTTTATAAATAAAAACACTACTTGGCTTGTGCTCACGAGTTGGAGGGTCATTTGAAAGGACCAGAACGAAAACACGACGTACTTAACAGTGTGGAAGCGAATCCAAGACAAGATCGATGTCCATGTCGACCCTCACGATACCAAATTCTTGTGTTTCAAGAACAATTCGAATCAATTTGTTTCGCATATTAATCGGTGGTAAGACATAGTTATGAGTTTTCATGGTGATGTTGACTTAAAACACTTAGGGCTTAAAGAAACTATAGAGAGAATTAAACAAGCATAGACTATAGGTGGTAAATTTTATGGCATTTCAGAGTGATTTATTAGGGTTTGGAAATGGAAATGATGGAGGTCGCAGGAAAGAAAGCCCGATGAAGGGTTGCCGACGATGGAAAGGTTGCCAGAAAAAGAAGAGTTGGGGTTCCAAAGAAGAAGGGTATAATTGATATTAAGGTGGGGTTTCAAAGAAAGAGGAGAGGGTTTCAATTATTTGAGTGGAGGTTCAAAGAAGTGGGGAGTTCAACGTAAATAGGTAGGGGCATTTAACAATTCTCTTTTTTGTTTGGTCAATGGTCACTAAACGGTTAGATTAAATTGTTATAAATTTTCTGAAGTAAGAGAAGGGAGTGTGAGAATTAAAATAATTTTAATTCAGAAAGAAGAATACCCCCTGCCATGATGTTCAAACCTTTGAATCTTTATCCTTGAATGATCAAACCTTGAATATGTAAAAAGCCCATTCACAGAACACTTTTACAGAACTATATGGGAAAAGTGAAAGGGACAGAGTTTCAAGCCTATTCTATTCACAAAGCAACGTCTGTGTTTGATGGCTATTACAGGCATATATATATAGATAGGCTTGGACCCATATCCAAGTGTAACTCCTTATAACTTCCTACCATCAGGGAAGTTGTAAGGTCCCATGAAACTACCATATGGGATAGTGAACAGACGTCAGTTACCCATTAACCATTAAACTAATTAAATATATATAATATAAATAACTAAATAAATAAAACAAACATGTGGCATATGGGCCACTTTATGGATATTCTTACAGGAAGTGGTATTTTAGAGAATAAAGGAGTTATAGTGCTATTTTAGATATACACAAGGGGTGTCAACGTAATTTTATTTATTTTTATTTATTTATTTTCAAACTCCCTCAATATGCTCACCTAAGTGAAAAGAATTTCTTGAATTATTTTCCAAGTTTTTTTTATTTTATTTTTTTGGTGGTTAGTTAGGCTACACGCGGTTACTTATTTTCAAGCCACTTTCGTCTTGAAAGTTTCATCAGAGTTGACATCTAGTCAGCAAAAATTAACAAATTTTTTATTTTTAATTTTTTTTTACTAATGTGACACTAAACTTATTATTTCAAAGAGGATGATTTCTTCCCGTTTGTAATCTGAATTAAAGGGCATTGTTTAAGTTTATAGGGTCACCACGAGTTTCGTTTTAATAATTTAATCGTTTATTTTATCAGACAGTTCATGTATTTTATTTACACAGAAAATTAGGTTGATATAATAATTGTAACAGATTCAATTTTTCATGTTTATCACAAAAAAAATGATTAATTTATTTTTAAAAACATAATTATTGTGCAAATTTTTTTTTTATTTTTTATCTTTCATTGATTCTACCTTGTGGATGGCTAAGAGAAGTCATATATAGAGCGATTGAACTTTCCCTTCTCATCTATGCTTAGTTTTGAAGGCATTGTCAGCATTCAACATCTGTTTCTAAAGCAGCATAGTGAGCTTTTGGGACCGGTAAGATTCATTTTTCCTTCATTCCTCTTGCTTTTCTTTAGCTATCATTTGAAGTTTGATCTCCAATTTTTGTTTTTTTTTTTTTTTTTTGTTGTTGTTGTTGTGGAAAAAGATGTTAAAAGAAAGTGAACCAAGCTTGTATGAAAACCTATCTAGTCATGATCTTAGAAGTTAGGTGCTCTCACCCAATCAAGTCGCTATCACCATCTCCAATCATCCATCAGTTTTTTTTTATCTAATTTATTTTCAAATTTGAATAAAAATCTTGATTTGATATGAACTACTCAAATCCTTTCATTAAATTTTCATCAAAATCTTTTCAAATATTACCTTCTAATCTCAAATTTCACTTTTCATCAAATTTGATGAAAAAAAATCATGTCCAATGCTTTATTTTTTTAAA